CCTCCCAAGCCAGTTCTTAACCATCGCGCCACTCGACCGGCCCCCTATCCATGCTTTTTTTAATTTAAAATGTAGACAGTATATATTTGTCTTGCTTTGGTATTTATTCTGACAATCTCTGCTTTTACTTAAGGTGTTTAGTCCATTAATATATAATGTAATATTTAACGCAGTTGAGCTGAGGTCTCTACTTTAGTATTTATGTTTGGGTTTGTCCTGTTTCAGTTTTTATTGTTTTGTTTCTCCTTTTTTTATTATTAAATTTTTTTTTAGTATTCTGTTTTAATTTACCCGTTTAAGCTTTCCTCCTAACCCTGCCCAGTCAATGTTTTCTGTACCCTGAGGCCAGCACATTGTCTGAATCATAGTAGGTATTGAGTAAATGTTGATGAGCCGATTCTAGCATGTCTTCCTCCCATCTGATTCCATCCCAGACTGACCCCAAAGAAGATGGCCCAATTCCTAGATTAGGAAACAGGAGATTCAGGCTGTCAATTCTACCTAAGGTCTTGGACTGGTTGACAGTACTTAAGATCCTGTTCTTGGGTTTTCTGTTTTCTGTTTATGGGTTTGGGTTTGGATTCTGGTTTGGGTTCGTACCCATCATGCAATGTCAGTTTAGTCTCATTTGTCAAGTTCACCTATCAGAAACACAGACTATTGATCTGTTTGTGCAAAGCAAGGCTCAGCTCCCTCCAGTGGAGCAGACAATTGCCTCACGTCTCTTGGCGCCCTTCCCGGAAGCTCCTGCAAATTGCCAGGAGAGACCTAAGTGGGTCACTTGCACAGGGAGGCTGGGCCCAGGTGTTGGGGTCACCACCACCTCCCTGTGGGTGGCAGAATTCCTGAGGCGGCCGTCCAGACTACTGTGCTGTGTTTCCGTGCTGGACAGTGCTCTTCCTGCTCAGTGCCCTGCAGTGAGACTGGAGCCATATTTCTGAAGCCTCTTCTAGTTCTGGGCTCTTCCTTGCTGTCAAGAGTTGCTTTGGTGTGTCCCAGCTTGCGTGTCCATGGGGCAGGACCTAGGTCAGTGTGACATGGCCTTCACAGGCCTGCCAGGAACTTGACCAACACGTGCTGACTCACATCAACTTGACTCAGTCCAAGTCAGGACCCTGGGATGTTCCAAAAGGCTATTGGCAGGAGGTAATCATCCCAGCATTCAGCACAGTGGTTCCCGTTGAGGGGAGGGATGGGTTTGCAAGCCGGGGAGGGTAGACGAGTGGCTTTCATTGTGGACATGTGCAATTTCTTAAACTGGGTGATGGATACACAGGTGTTCTTTCTACCTTCCCTATGTCTTAAGTACTTCATAAGTGATTTTTGGAAAAAGGGTGGTGAGGACTCACTGACTCCCTGTTCCTGCCATTGATGGGATTCCTATCAGCCAGTGTGGAGAGAAACTGCCTCCCTCCACCCTTGCTTTCCTGAGAGAATCCTGCTGCTTTTGTGTCCCAGTGGGCCCTGGACACACACACACACACACACACACACACACACACACACACACACACACACACACGTGTCTCTGTTTTCTCTTTCTCTTTCCTCTTCCTGTTGGTTGACTGAGCTCACGGTGACCCAACCTGGACAAACATGTTGGGCACCTTCCAGCACCTAGAGAAACAACTTCTTCCCCGAGGAGAGGCTGCTGTGCTCTGGGAGGTGGCGCAAAGCCATGGCGCAGGGCCTTCCCTGATGAGGCTTTGCCCTGTGAGGTGGGGGCTGAGAGTCGCTGGTCTCTGTCAACCTTTAACCCTGCCCTGTAACCCATTAACCAATAAGAACTAACTCTCACCCAGAACGTACAGGTGCCAGGCAGGGTCTGGAGCATTTTCTGTAGCATTACTTTTTAATCCTCACAGCAACCCACTGAGGCAGGGAACAGGATTCTCCCACTTTACACATGGGGAAACTGAGGCACAGGAGAGCGAAGTGATTTGTCAGAGTTCGTGCATCTAGTAAACTGCCAGGGCAGTTTGGGCCAGGGTGGGAGGGGAGACCACGGGGCAGGATCCTCCTCAGCTGGACCCCCAAGCTTCCATCTCCCACTCCCTAGAGGGGAGCTCAGAGGTGGGAGGCCAGGGAGTGGAGCCTGCTCCTCTCCGGCACCCTTGGCTGCTAGCGCCCCGACTTACCATCGGTCAGGCATGTCCCTTGAGGGTCTTGGCTGTAGAACAGGTGAGTGTAGTTTCTCTGGGTTTCCTGCTGGAGGCTGGGAGATGATGGTCCTGGGTGTCCCGTCCCCTTCTCTAGCCCAGTTTACCCAGCTGGCCCAGCTGAACCCCCAGGAGCGTCTGAGCCGGGAGACGGCCCTCCAGCAGAAGCAGGTGTCCCTGGAGGCCTGGCTGCAGCGCGAGGCCCAGACGCTGCAGCAGTACCGCGTGGTGAGTGGGGTCTGCGTCCCTCTCCTCCCAGGCGTGGGGTCCACACCCCAAGCTGAGCTGTCAAGGCGCCCAAGAGAGGGATAGAGCCAGGAAGAGAGCAGGACCCAGGAGAGCAGGAGGCCAGATCCCCCTCTTTCCTGTGGGGGCCTGTGAGGCAGAGCAGGTCACGGGGAGGGGAGGCCCGGCCTCCTGAGTGAGGGCCTGCAGAGCTGTTGTCCGGGAGCCCAGAAGGGCCTGCTCCCCCCGCCCTCAGGAGCTGGCTGAGAAGCACCAGAAGACCCTGCAGCTGCTGCGGAAGCAGCAGACCATCATCCTGGATGACGAACTGATCCAGTGGAAGCGGAGGCAGCAGCTGGCCGGGAACGGAGGGCCCCCCGAGGGCAGCCTGGACGTGCTGCAGTCCTGGTAATGGGTGTGGAGGAGGCAGGCAGGGCTCAGGGTGGTGCTACCAGCTGCTGCTTCCGCTCGTGTGTGTGTGTGTGTGTGTGTGTGTGTGTGTGTGTGTGTGTGTGTGTGTGTGTGTGTGTGTGTCCGTGTCCATGGGCAGCCCGCTCGCTCTGTCTGGTGATGGGTCTTATTTTACCAGTGGTTCTGGTTCCTGAGACAGACTTTGAGGCCCCCAGTCATGCCTCCTGTCCCCGGGAAGGGAGTCACTGTGTTGGGGCACGGGGTATGGGGGTGCAGAGTGATGCTCGGGCTGGTCGGGTCTGAATCAGGGTCGCCCCTCCTGTGTGATGCTCTGAGTTTCTGGAGGGCAGGGCAGCTCTGCTGTGCTCTGGGGACAGGAGTCGTGGCTAAGGAGTAAAGCGTTCTTGACGAGGGCTTCCTGGGTGAGGGTGGAGCTGGGTCTCGGGGGGCTCACCCGAGACTGGGAGCCTCCCCAGCTCTGGTCTCGAGGATGGAGTGAAGCCATTGTCCTTCCTGTTGGTCTTGGGGCTCGTGCGCAGGTGTGAGAAGCTGGCCGAGATCATCTGGCAGAACCGGCAGCAGATCCGCAGAGCTGAGCACCTCTGCCAGCAGCTGCCCATCCAGGGCCCAGTGGAGGAGATGCTGGCTGAGGTCAATGCCACCATCACAGACATCATCTCAGCCTTGGTGACCAGGTGATTGCTGCCTCTTGGCCACGCCCATTCCCCCATGTGGTTGTCATGGGGGAGGCGGGGTGTGCTTCCGCTTGAACCTTGTTTCTCTCTGCCTCACTCCCTCCCGCCATCCCCCCTGTCCCCAGCTGCTATGGCTGCCTGGTGTTGACCTTGCCCTGTTTCTCTTGTGGACTCCACATGGGCTGCCCTTGTCCCCTGCAGCCCGTGCCAGCTGCTGAGTTCTTTTCACTGTCTTCCCCTCCTGCCACTCACCTGACTCTCAGTGGTCTCCCTGGAACAGGCTCCCTGCCAGATGCTCTTCCTTTGCCCTTGAGCCCCATGGGAGGCAGCCTCCCCTCACAGAGGGACCAGAGCCCTGTGCCCTGAGGCAGCATCTGGTCACTTGTGTCCCCGCAGCACATTCATCATTGAGAAGCAGCCCCCTCAGGTCCTGAAGACGCAGACCAAGTTTGCAGCCACCGTGCGCCTGCTGGTGGGCGGGAAGCTGAACGTGCACATGAACCCCCCTCAGGTGAAGGCCACCATCATCAGTGAGCAGCAGGCCAAGTCTCTGCTCAAGAATGAGAACACACGCAAGTACGCGAGCCCATCCTCATGCCTGCCCCTCCCCAAGCTCAACCTGGGTGCCTGCCTGGGTCCTACACCTCGGCTCCTGTTGATAGCACAGCGTGTCCTCCTTCCCTGCACCCTTTTGTCGTGGCATTGCACATGCGATCCAGCGTCTCTCCAGTTCACTCTCCCTGTCCTGGTGTACACCGTGCTTCTCCTGCGGAGAGGCTTTCCCTAGTCCCTGCCGTGCCCAGTACATAGTAGGTCAACAGGGATTGTTCTGCTGTGGTGCTCCAGGACCTGTGTTAAGCATTGGGACACAGTGTGACCCTAACAGAACTTGGCTGTGTCCTCACCCAACCTCTTGAATAGCAGAGCAGGCAGCAGACACGAGAAGTGATGACTGGTGTGTGACAAGGGAGACGTGTAGGGCACTGTGGAAGTGGGTCATGGTGGGGGTGGAGCAGAATGACACGTAGTCTCAGGCTGCAGGATGAATAGGAGGTAGCTAGTGAAAAGGCACGGAGAGAAGACTTTTGGGCATAGAGAACATGGACCTTGTCCGGAAGGAGGTACATGTGTGCACAGAGAGCCCAGGGTTGGGGTGCCAGGGTCAGGGCATACCACCCATACAGGGTGCAGTGAATGAATGAAGGAGTGAATCAGTGAAGTGGGAGACTTGGTCATGTGTATGAATGCCTACCTGTGATCTGGGGATAGGATGACGAAGAAGACGAAGAGGTTCTCACTCTCTTAGAGCTTACATTTTGGCTGAGGAGGAAGACAATCATATACTCTTGAAGATAAGGCAGTGTCAAAAAGTGATAGACCCTCCCTAGAAGGAAAATTAAAACAGTGATATCACAGCATCTGGTTAGATGTTGCAACACCACATGAGTGGTCAAGGAAGGCCTTTCTGAGAAGATATTTGAGTTGAGACCTGAATGAGAAGGTCAAGAGTGTTAGGGCAACAGGAAGAACAAGTACAAAAGTCCTGAGGTCGGTACCAAGCTTGCATGTTCAGCAGACAGGCAAGGCGTCGTGTTAGCTTGTCCTGAGGGGAGAGGAGCCCCATGAGGCCAGGGAGGCAGGCAGGGGTTGATCACAAGCATCCTTCTGGCCATGGTCATGATTTTTGTTTTAAGTGCACTAGAAAGCTTCTGGAGGCCCCTGAAGGCCCTCACATCAACCTCAGTGCCCAATGAATTTTTAATCTAATGCTAGAGACCCAGAGCCTGCCCTGAAGAGTTTACTTGGGTACTCTCAGGTTGATGAGAAAGTAAGGCTGGAGATACACTGAGAAACGCTCTGAGGGGATGGGTCAAGGGCTGCAGGCAGGGCTTTCTGGAGTAAAGACCCCATCCCAAGGCTCAGACAGGACCATGCTCCTGGCCTGGGACCCGTGTGGAGATGGGGCCCCCCTCTCCTTCACAGCGAGTGCAGCGGAGAGATCTTGAACAACTGCTGTGTGATGGAGTATCACCAAGCCACTGGCACCCTCAGCGCCCACTTCAGGAACATGGTGAGGACAGGTCCTGGCTCTTGGAGGGAAGGTCTACCCAGAGCCAAGTCCTTGTTACCAGCTCCTGTCTCCCTATCCCCCGTTGACTCCGCCTTATAGTCGCTAAAGAGGATCAAGCGTGCTGACCGGCGAGGTGCAGAGTCTGTGACGGAGGAGAAGTTCACAGTCCTGTTTGAGTCTCAGTTCAGTGTAGGCAGCAATGAGCTTGTGTTTCAGGTGAAGGTGAGGCTCCACTCTCCCATGCCCCGCAGGTTACCCGAACCGGTGCAGGGGCCTGCCTGAGGCCCCCCAGCCGGGTTGGGAAAGCCAGCGAGCTCTGAAGCCTCTCTCACACGGAGCCTGACCAGTTACCCCGTGATGCTATCAGAAAACCTACTTTCACTCTGCCGGTGCCTGTTTGTGAGGTTATAATCTGGCACTAGCCCACAGAATTTGGGCAATGGGCCAAGGAGAAATATGTTGTGTTTTCATGTTTGTTTTTGCTTTGGTTTTGTTGGGAGGGGCTTGTGGTTGGGACTGTGGGTAAGGAGTGAGGGTTGGTTGTCTTGCCTAAGCAGAGGCCAAATGGTGGTCGTACGCCCTCAGATCTCATTCTTCTGACTCCCCCAGACCCTGTCCCTTCCCGTGGTTGTCATTGTTCATGGCAGCCAAGACCACAATGCTACTGCCACCGTGCTGTGGGACAACGCCTTTGCTGAGCCGGTGAGTCCCCGTGGGACCCCTACCTCCTGGCCCTGGGAGTCTCCCTGGGTCAGCCCCACCCCTTTGGGCCCCTGCTCAGTGGTCTTTCCCACCCCAGAACCAGACGAGAGCCAGGAGAGGTGAGAAGGGCAGCTGCCCTCAGCATGTCTGTGGGCTCTGTCTGGGCTCCAGTCTTGGGACTGGAGTCTCCCGGGCCTGCGAGCTTGGTCTTGGGCTCTGGTCCCTGATCTTCCTTCGGCTTGTGGTTTGGGTCCCTGGCCTGGGTCTCCATCCTGCCCACCTCTGCCTCCGCCCCCTCTACCCCTGCCCCCTTGCCCCCTGCCTTTCCTTCCCTTGTATTTGCCTCCTTTTTTGGATCTTTCTCAGTCTCCTCCGCCTCTAGGTGCCTGTGTGTCTATGTTTGTGTGTAAATATTTCCTAGTCCCTCAGTCTGCCTTATTTTTCCCCTTTCTTCTCCCCCTCTCAGGGCAGGGTGCCGTTCGCCGTGCCTGACAAAGTGCTGTGGCCGCAGCTGTGTGAGGC